GCGCTGCGCGGCCCCCCCCACAGCGCGCACAGACGCCGGCATTCTTGCAGCGAGGATGTTGCTTCGAGATGGGCCCGGGCACGAGCATCACGAGCCGGCGCCCCGGGAACTGGCACGGGCGGCGCGTGGGCATCGTTGCGCTGGGCGGCGCCAGCGATGAAAACGATGACGACGCGCGCCCAGAATGGCGTGATCCGCGGACGTCCGCTTGATTCCCCCCCGAACCTTTACCTCCTACTGGGGCGGCGTAGTGGCTAGCCACGCCAGACGCACGGCCCAGAGGTCACCGCGTTAGGTTCGTGCTCTCGGTACGGCGGTTGAAAGGATGATCTCCCAACTCCCATAACCGAAAGGCGTGGGGAGGCGGTGAATTGATAACGAGCTACACATTGCATCATATTATTCCTATTCTTTTGTGTCAGGTTACCATATAAACCTGTTTAATATCCGTTTGCTTGCGGCTGTCTCTCCTTGCACCAGTCCCACACCCGGCGCCTTCAGGTGCTCCCCTGACACAGTCTGACCACTTCTTCTTCTTCTGCTGCTGCTGCCCGCATTGCCTGGAGCTACTTCGGGACATCCACACAGCCTGATTTCATGCCCGTTTTCAAGTTTGAGATTCAAAACTTTCCTCTGCATCTTACGACTCGCTGCTACCGTTTCGTCAATCCCTTTCCCCTCCATTATTGCCTCCTCTTCCTGTAACGGCCCCCTTTATTTACGATCTCGTAATGGACATATTTTGTGCACAACACCTTCGCGTGTTCTCCGTTAAGTACTTTATGAAGCAAATTGAATTCCATTGTAACTGAGCGTAAACTTAAGCATAACCTGTACACTAGTGAGGGTGCACCCATCTCTCATCTGTCCAGCGTGGGAGAGCAGGCCATATACCCTCAAGTGGGGACTATCAAGGGGCGTTCTAGAGTCCTCCTGCTAGAGGCCCTGTCGCCAGAAGTGGCATGAACAAGAAAGTGCAGGGCTGCACCTGTACGCACTGACCATGACACCCTGACTATAGCCCTCATTCTAAATCCTAGCTCACACTCAAATCCTGACATTACCGCTCAACCTAGCACTGACATCGCGCCTAACTCTTGCGCTCACCCGTTACCGCACGACCGTAGCTTTCCGAAGCGTCTCACTGTCCCCTCTAAACTGTTACCAATGGGCAATGGTGGCACAATGAAAACACCACCACCACCACCAGCAGCAGCAGCAGCTCTCTGTCGTTCAAGAACAAGGAAAAAAAACCAGGGAAGTTTTAAAAAGTATGCTTTACTGTGCAAGCATTTTTAGGCACTCCACGTGCCCTCCCGACTGAGAGGCCTGTGCATTTTTAGGTTTAGTGGACTTACAGAAAGAAAAAAAAATCCATCACCGGAGCAGCTAATGTCGTTTGGATGGTCACTGTTTCTAATGCTAAAATATGTTGACCTTGTGCATGCGTGCATGCGTGCGTGCGTGCGTGCATGCTGGTATTTTGTGGAATTCCCATGTCGATTGATGAGTAATATCGCACAAACGGTCTCCTGATGTACTCCCCACTCGCTCCCCAAGTGAAGCTACTGCTGTTTTTTTTAAACCGTCTCAACACATTTAGCTGTTGTGCCCTTGAAATATTTGAAATGTGTTCTAAGCTGATTTAACCCGAGGGTTTGAAATTACAGTAGTTAGGTTGGCTAATCCGAACAGAATGTGCAAACGTGTAGAAAGCGGTGTTCTGGATTTTCCTTTTTCAAGCGTTTTTTTTTTCTTTACAAAGAGAGTGTAAAGGGCATTTGCCAATGGAGACACAATTGTGTAATCACTTTCTGATACAAGGCCTTTGAAAGTTTACAGCTTAACGGACAGTGCATGCTCCGGGTGGAATTGTGTAGACAACATAGCAAGAAAAAAGCACTCGTCATATACCGAAAACGTGCCTGGCAACGGAATTATATTTTGGGCAATCAGTAACTTTGTTGGCCAATGGCCTTCTATCAAAGGTGACATTGCAAGGCAGGGCTCATTGCCTGAAACAATCAGCCTGCCGTATATTGCCCATTGTACAGCAGCGTTAGTGACTATTGTGGCGAGTGTTATTTTGAGAGTTCCCCTTAATCATTGGTCTGCATGTGAAGAGCCGCTTGGAGCACTGAAATACGTTTAAAAAGGGGGAAATTTGTGTTTCATAAGTCAGAAAAAAAACCAGTTGAACAAATATTTAAGAGTGACATTTTAAAGCGACGAGTATTGATGTCCCAGGAATGTACCAACGTTCTTCTCTGGCAAGAACGCGTTACGACTAAAACGCACCCTGTGAGCCGGCTGAAATGAAACACCGACGAATGTATGGGATTACGATAAGAGAGCACTTTAATGTGCGACGTACACGTGCGGTAAGGAAGCGAGGAGGAAGGGAAGTACGCGATGCGAAAGCGGATCTTATTCGCTCCAGGTGTTGAGACAACAACGATAAATTATTACCAGATATTGCAGAGAGCTCAAGCATCTGTTCAGGGGCGCCGCAGTGGCGAGATGTCAACTCCCTCGCCCGGTATACAGGAGGTCGTGGGTTCGATCCCGATCCCGACCCTGACACCTGCTGTATATTTAGAGTTTGAATGTGTCTCTCTCCCCACGGTCGCATGGATTTTTCTCCGGTTCCACCGGTTTTTTTCCCTCCACATTTAAAAGCATCCATTTATAATATTTGGCTGCTATACGTTTCCACAAGATGAAGGCCACTTTGTTGAGCTATCATTTGTGGCCAGGTTGCCTCTGACAAAAAAAAGCTCAGTGGCCCTCACCTGGTTAAAAAAACATAAAATAGTTAGCAATCTGTTTAAAATCTATAAATAGGGAATCACTTCTGTGCTTAAGCACATTGTTCCGGAGTTTCCTTGGTGTGACGATGCGATATTCTATGCACAATTACATGGGCGGGTGTTGATGGCAGCGATGGTGGGTGGGTACAGCTGTTCTATTTCTGCTGTCGTCCATGCTTGGCTTTCACATCCTCATTGGGCAATAAGTGGTGGGCAGTTTTCATAAAACGTTTCTACCGAGGATTGCAAAAAAATTGTCCTTGTGACATAAACTATGGCAGTTTTGCGTGTGACAAAAACCACAAAACATCGACTAAGAGTTTAATGCAGGGCCACGTGCATCTCAGCTCTCATCCGAGCTGACCTGTTCTCTGTCGAACGAACATTATTTCTCAATATGGAATGTTCACCATCTGGCTAAACACAATGCCAGGTTGTAACAAACGGGCTTGATTTACTGCGTGATCACTGCCCTATCAAACCTTATTGCCAAGCGCATTGAGAGATTTGGCGACAAATTGCGACATTAAGCAAATGCTAATTACGGGCTGTCATTAATTCAGGGAAATGCTCGTATCACAAGATCAGATGAGCGCGGTGAGCCAGATCTTTAGAAGCTGTGGTGTGAGGGATGCTCACTGCTGGGAATGTGTCTGTTCCTTTCAGGCCGGTGGCACGGGCCAAGATAAATGGTGCTTGTTTTCCCAAGCATTTTATCAACTATGTAGTTTTATCCATTCCAAGGAGTCTGTTAAACGTTAGGCTATTGTGTGCAAAGAAACGTAATAAATGTCACCTTATAGACCTGCCTCTGTAACTTATATATGTACTAAAAATAATATAGTACGGGGGAACGGTGTCGAAGTGGTTCGCGCGGCGCATTATGAACGTGGCCTACCTGAGTTCAATTCCCGGCCGTGGCTAACATCGATGGAGTGTGATATGTGAACCGGTCTGGGCTCCCCTACTTCACCAACCCACACTGACCAGCGTGTTGAAGTATGGTCAGACAGCCCTCACGTCCGACACGGTCTGGGGAGGCCTTCACCCAATAGTGGATTCACAAGGGGTCTAAAATATTACTTTTGTAAAGTACAATGTACTAAACTTTAAGGAATATTGCACACACACACATATATATAGAAACGCCTTTGCCAACTTCCACTGACCGGCGTGGGGAAGTATGGTCCTGGGGAGGCCTTCTTCTAGCGGTTGATTGACAAAGGGGCTCCACGTACAAATAGAAAAGTGCACCGTGAAAACGGGAGATCATTCCCCATTGAGGTGCGAATTTGGGAGTAGCGGAGCGTTAGTGTGTGCCGGCGGGGGGGGGGGGGGGGGTGTTTGTCTAGGAGGAGGTGGTGGGGGGGGGTAGCGATTGGAGAGCAGGGGCTGGGTTTATATCCGAATAGAGCGTTTCTTTGACAAGGATTTATAAAAATCTCGGCGTGGCCCTGGGCGTTTTGTTTCACGTTACTTGACGCCTGGCACGAGTCCAAGGGCCCCTGTTGTCGTCCCCCCCCCCCCCCCCCCCGGGATCCGTGGAGAGCGTGAGGCCAGGTTATTAGTGGCGGGGTTTCTAGGGTGACCCCCCCCCCCCAATTGCTGGCATGCCCCTGCGTGCCGGCGGAGGCAGCGCTGTTCCCCCCCCCCCCCCCCCCGAGCGCGAATCGTTCCGTAAACACGGGAGAACCGCGACTCGGTGGAACCCCAAAAAAAACGAGACGTACATTTTTTTTGCGTGAACGAATTGACCATCCACGCACACGGTGCACGAAATGTGTTTTAAGTGCGGCAACCTCCTCTTTGTCGGAGGTTCTTTTATTGGGATGGTCGGCCAATTCCATTGATGAATGTTTGCTACGTGGGAGGAAACCAGAGTGCACCGTGCAGAAGAGAAGATGACACTCAAAGGTGTCCATAGATGGATTCAATCCACTTGCTGTGCTGCCATCTCCTGTGTTTTGGTGTTTCACACATTTTCATCATCCACCAACCCTTGCCCCCAAAAAGCACACGATCACGGACACCCGCCACCGGGGCTTGGCTCGACGCTAAAGCACAAACACCAAATGTAAACAGTCGGTTGGTGGCAGCGGTGGTGTGTGGCGCCGACGCTCATCCTTAACTGTTCTGCTCCTGCTCCCCCTCGCGTGTCCCCTCTTTCCTGCCGTGCGCGCGACGACGCAGTGCGGGAAGAGCAGAAGTGCGAGCTGAACTGCCGTGCCGTGGGCTACCGCTTCTACGTGCGGCACGCGGAGCGGGCCACCGACGGCACGCCGTGCGAGCCCGGCACGGACGACGTCTGCATGGAGGGCACGTGCAAGGTACGATCGGGCAGGCGCCGCCCCCCACCCCCACGCCACCACAACCACCCCCCCCACCCCCCATGTCCCTCGCGCCGTCCGGGATGGGCACGGGCGCCTCTCGCCGGAATTTAAATGCTCTCACAGCCGCGCGCCGGAGGCCCGCTGTGGCGCCTGCACCGTGCGGAATGCGAGAGAGTGCTCCTTCGCGTCTCGCCCAGTTTGTGCGCTCGTGCCGCGCGAAGGCCACGGCCGGATTTCGCGTGACTTCATCGCTGTGTGTACTGTGTGTATGCGTACGTACGTACGTATGCGTGTTCAACTTCTTTTGCACCGTACGTAGCCAACCGTGTTAATCGGAGGTGCGGCGGGCGAAGGACAGCAAAGGAAACACAACAAAAAGCATTTGTAAAGAAGTGTGTTTTCAATCTAGATTTAAAAGTGTATAGCTCCCAGTGACTTCCTAATGTAAGTAGGAAGAGCGTTCCAGACGGCCGCGATGCGGTGAATGTCTTTGTGTGCAGTGTGATCACTGTGGCATGGGGCCTTGGCGCTGTAGACTTACACGACTCGTCCGTTCTACCTTGTCTCATCCTTCAAGTTCGTTTGGTTCCAAAAAAAGCCTGTGCCTAATTGACGGCAAGAATCTGGAATAATTCATTGATTTTAAAGTAACATAATAGACACCCAAGTAGGGGGCGACGTTTCGGTTGCAACACAAGCAGCCATCATCAGGTACAGAAGAACGCATAGTCCGGTTCACACAAATCAAAGCCAAGACAGAAAGGCAGATACACAAACAGAGACAACACAAGGACAAAACAAGACAACACAAAGACAGACACAAAGATACAGACCTTATACATCCCCGTAGAGGCGGGTTCAAGAGTAGTTCCTGCAGTCACGAAAGCTTCGAACCAAGTCTTGATTTTAAAGTGACGGCCAAAAATAAAAAATCCACGTAAAGTCATCGATGAGTTTATTCAACAGCTCCAAATGAATGTGCAGTTTTAGTTTCAGCTTTTCACTACAATTACAAAAGAATCTCCATGTTATTCTCCCATTTGACAATATAAGCAATTAAAGCTACCAAGATAAATAATTGGTGAATCTCAGTATAAAAGTTTACAATCAAAATATTATGGGAAAGAAACGAATGCGTCTCGTTGGATAAATAACTTCGTGCTGGGTTTTGTGTTTGCCTTATCCAGCCAAGCCGTAAATCTCACACAGGGTTAGAATTACCAAAGCCCTTACACGAGTACAAATAGGCAAATAAATAAATGGAGCCCGTAAGAGTGTTTATTTTAAATTGCTCGCGTGAATTATCCGGGAACAGTCAAATGCTGTTGGCTAAAGACTTGCCATTTCAGGTTCGAGTGCATAAACAACAACAACAACAACAACAAAAAGAGAGAGCCTAAAATGTAAACAAACGATTTACCCTCCACGGCTTTTGGAAGCCCCAAAGGAGGCGGAGAGCAGTGAGAGGCATCTGTCCATCAGCGCGCCACCAGCGGAGCACCTGCTCACCCTCGAGGCTTTTAAAGGGTTTCTGTAAAAAAAAAAAAATTGTGATTTTTTTTTGTCGCCTCAAGGCGATCGGGTGGAATGAAAGAACTGTAGCCGAAACGTAACAATAACAACAATAACTCAGTCATCGGTCTACTAACTCTGCTTGGTTGTTTTCAATGGAGGGCATTTACGTTAAACTTAGCTGCGGGGCTCTAGTAAGCGGGACAGGTGGGCACCATGCGCTCTGAGCGTGTTTGGCAACTTGTAACGTGATTTTACTTTACGGGGGGGGGGGGGGGGGGGGGGGTGGGTGACCTTCCTTTACTGTCTATTGCAGTCGTTTTGTACGTAACTATGTTGTATGCATTGCACATATTTTTTTTCTCGGGTGCGCTCGATTGCTCTCCGCGCGTTCGTTGATTCCCGACGTTTTGCAGCCACATGCTGGGAGTTCCCGAAGCAGCTCGCAGCGCGTGGAGAGTTAACGTCGGGGCGTAATGAACACACGGCACAACTTGAAGGAAACATTGAGACGTTAACATCCATTGTTCTTACATTGACAATGTATTGTTCTTACATTGACAATACATTGTTCTTACATTGACAATGTGTTGTTCTTACATTGACAATGCATTGTTCTTACATTGACAATACATTGTTCTTACATTGACAATGTATTGTTCTTACAATGACAATGCATTGTTCTTACATTTACATTTAAATCGAAATGTATTGTTCTTACATTGGCAATACATTGTTCTTACATTGACAATGTATTGTTCTTACAATGACAATGCATTGTTCTTACATTTACAATGCATTGTTCTTACATTGATAATGTAAGAGCAATGCATTATTACAATTGAAAGTAATACTTTTCACATACTTTCTCAGCGTTTCATGGCAACCCCTGTCCTCAAAGTATGTGCACACTTACGTTGCGTATTACGAAATGGAATTTATTCATTTGTGTTTTTTTCCAAACGTTAATATTTTTGTTATCTCATTAGAAATACGAGCAAAGAATCAAAGGCAGGGGCCTCTGTTCACTTAAAGCCTTGCCAATACGCTGATAGAAACATTCCTATCTGTGATTATTGGCCAACACACAAGCGCCAACGTCGGCCAATATTCAACAGGGTCTGGTGAAAAAGCAGCTGGTTTTTACTGGAAACTCCACATGCCGGTGAATAAACAGAAACGCCTCCTTCCTTTGGTCTGTTTTCCCTCTCCAGGGCCCCCGAATCCTTCTAAAATCATTGACCTCGTTGTTGTTACGTGATTGCGGGCGGCGTAAATGTGGCGTTATGATTAAGGCTTCCCTTGGTGATGTGCACAGTGCTCGTCTTCGTTAAAGTGGATGTCTGCACTGCTGGTCCGTCGCTGCCTTTTGGCATGAGGGGGTTCATCACCACATTTTTATCGATTACACAACAATGAGGAATAGACGTTATGACCAAATGGCCATCTAATCACAGAAAAAAATAATATGTATAAAATAAATGGAGATATTACATGCCTATTGTTTTTGTCGTAACTTGTTTGTTTTACATTGTTTTGGTCTCTCCCCAATTATATTCCAATTGTTTTCTTCCAATCGTGCTCTTGGCATGAGACAAAGAATCTTTTCACAGCTCTCGTGGACTAGTGCATCACCGCGTGATAGAAAATGGCCCGCGGAAGGAGACATCGCAAAACTGCTTCTGAGATGTCTACAAATGACCCCCTTTCCGCACTCCACCGCTACATATATATTACCATCTGTCCTGTCGCAGAGGGAAACGTTAATGGCACAACGGTGAAGCCAATGTTTTTAATTTCCAAAGCTTGAGCTTAACTAAATTAAGTGAAAAAACAAATGTAAAATGTATTTATTTATTACGTGGTCATTTGTCACCAGGCTGAAACCATCAACGAACTACACTTGGACAGTGTGGCTTAGTCAGGAGCGGCTCCTCAGATGTGCACGCGGGATGTAAGCAGTGCCAGCTTAGCAGTCTGATACGGGAGCCTCCCGGCCACCTGAACTCTCTCACAGATTTAACAGAGCACTACCTGGACATCCATTTACAGCACATTCTTGACTAACTCTCAAAGGACGCACCTGAAAAAAGAGCGTTGACACAGTTTCATAGAGAGCTGGCCCTCTCTGGGCTTAATCTGGCACTGGTGGACGCGCGAGTCCTCGGCTGCATTTAGCAAATGTAGCTCGTCGTTTGCTGGCACCGAATATCAAGCGCAGAACGCGAAAATACTCAGGATTACATCATAACGCAAAACAATACCAGAGTGGCTCTATTTACACTTCACCAAGTAAGTCTCCCTTGCAAAGCACATTGGGCAAAATTGGCTCATTATATCTCCAGAGTGAACATGCCTTCCTTAATAAAGTTTAGACGAAGTTTTTGTTGAAATTGTTTAAAAACAAGTCATGGTAACTGCCTACACACGATCAGGCCATTCCCCGCTGCCACAAAAAGAGTGAAAGTTTGATCCACGTCCTCCCTCCGTCTGTGACACCGTGTTATTATTATTATTTTAACGACGCGTTACCTCCCCGGGCCGCGGGACCATTGAATTAGCATGCCATAACACGCCGCCGCCTTTGCATGGGGGGAGAAAAAATGCATGCACGAGTTTGCTTTCTTCCTCTTCAGCGTCGCGAACGTGACACACTCGCGTGCGGTAGGCTTCGTACACACCCCTCCGCCGTGACAGACAGGTCTGCCGTGTTTCAAGGAAAAGTGGTGGAGGTGAGGGTGGGGGTGGTGAGATGGCCAGACCTCGAGTGTAGCCTGGTCCCAGGTCAAGGCTGGCTTGCGATGTTGATGGCTGGCAGATTTCGCAACCAGACAAAGCCATTGCCTGTCTCTCGCGCGCCAATTTACCGAATCAATTTAGCCAATCAGTCGGTGCTGTAATGAAGCCATTATACTTGTCGTGGTTCCTTACTCTAGAATGATAGAGGCAACCCCCTTCCTCCACCTCGAGTGCGATGGCAAGTGCAGGCACAAAGCTGATGCTTGTGGTTTGTGTCTGGGGCCCACTTCACCGGCTCCACCGATGACGATCGGCTTCGTGAATATTCTCAGCTCATCGCTGTCATTTCGCTGCGTATTGTAGTGGGCGCTACGCGGGGCTCGGGATTGTAAAGTGTGCGCGTTGACGTGCGGAAGTGGGGTTCCACTGTGTCCCGATGTAATGGCCAATTTGGTGTTGGCGAAATTACCCGCAAGCGGTGAATTTGACCGCGGTAGAGCGAGCGCAATTTCCACGCATACGAGTTGCATTTATCTCGGTGGAACAGTAGCATCTTGCGTTGAGGCAACGAGGAATGGAAAGGGCGAAGTTTGCCGAATTGTCACGAAATACGCACGCTTGTTGTTGTACGTTTATTACAAATGTGTCTTGAGTTAAGGGTTTTAAAAGCAATAAGGCGCGCTTTGATATGCTTGGAGAAAACGCCGCAGAACACTGCTGTACGGAAAATAATCATATATTTTACA